CACTTTTTACCAAAAATTACAAAAATATTCACCAAAATTAGAGAATTGAAGATATCATTACAAAATGAACAAATCTGAGAGAGGTCGACATGTAGTACCTATATATGTAAATATCAAAGCAATTGGACTTGCGGTTTTCAACAAGAAGTTGAAAATATCACTTTTTACCAAAAATGACAAAAATATTCACCAAAATTAGAGAATTAAAGATATCATTACAAAATGAACAAATCTGAGAGAGGTCCACATGTAGTACCTATATATGTAATATCAAAGCAATTGCACTTGCGGTTTTCAACAAGAAGTCGAAAATATCACTTTTTACTAAAAATGACAAAAATATTCACCAAAATTAGAGAATTGAAGATATCATCATGAAATGAACAAATCTGAGAGAGGTCTACCCAAGGTACATATACACCAAGTATCAAAGCATTCAGGCTTGTAGTTTTCAAGAAGAAGTCGAAAAAGTAAAACATTGACACGGACGACGACGGACAATCACTCATATGATAAGCTCCGCTCGACAAAGTCGACAGCGGAGCTAAAAAAAACAGGAAGTAATCATTTTTACCATGTTGTAACCTAGCCCAGAGACTCGGCTGTGATACTTTGCATAGCTGCCCACCGCCCAGTGAAACGAGCTGGATCTAGCACAGAAATCGGTGCGAGTATGTAAATGGCGAATACGGGTGGTATGAAGCTAATTGGAGAACTGACACAAACAACATTACGTCAAAGCATCCCCACGTGATCCTGGTTTCAATTTCGAAAGAGACACAAAAGGAAGTAGGGAGGAGTCTGAACGTAAATATGCGCGAAATTCCCGCTTTCCCCCAGTTGTTACACTCATCAGTCTTATGAATAGTAATGAGTGAGTGCAGTTAAAAATAATAGCCAACCACAGGCCCCTGACAAAATTTGATGGATCGCCGTGTTTTATCTTGTTACTGAGCGACGGCGACTGCTGCCACGACCACATTCTGCTAATTTGAATAATCCAATTTGAATTTTCAGGCGCGTTTCACTTAGCGTGGGTTAGAATAGAAACCAACGGCCAGACTCTGA